GCAGCTGTGTCCCCGCCAGCTTTGCTGTCACTGGCAGCTGTCTCCCTGTCAGCTTTGCTGTCACTGGCAGCTGTGTCTCCGCCAGCTTTGCTGTCCCTAGGGGCCAGGCCCGCAGGAGCCTGGAAGGTGACAGAGATAAAAGAAAACCCTTCTGTGCAGGAGGTGCTCCTGCGTGTGATCTCGGTTACTCTAGGGCAGATCAAGTCCCCAACACAAGGCCACAGTGGGAGACCCTATCTGGAAAACTAAAAGCACAAAGGACTGGAAGCAAGGTGCGCGAGGTCGGGGGTTTGCCTAGCAACACAGGCCCTGAGCTCAATTCCTAGCACCACATACAGACAGAAAACATCTTTCTGATTCAGTCCCCATCCCAGGCGGAGCCAGACCCGCGCTCTCAGGACGCAGGCCCGTGCTTGGCCAGCTGGGAGCAGGGGCTCCACATGGCCGGGGCTCGGAAGGAGACCTGCGGCTCTGTGCCTCCATTGGACACCCACAAGAAACATCCTCTCTGTGAAGCAGACACCCACTGCAAAGCCGAGGTCTAGTGGTCAGATCGACATTTCTGTGAGGTTTCAATGTGGTGCTCGCCTCCTCCGGGGACAGCCGCTGGCCTCGGGGAGGTGTGGGCAGTGGGCACTGGCTATCCCTGTGGAGTGCCAGCCTGCCCTAACTCAAAACTGGCCCAGGGCTGCGTCCCTGGCAGGTGAGATGGACCTGGGCCCAGGCACCCCCAAGTATGAAAGCCAGGTTTCCAGAGCAAGCAAACAGCCAGGGTTCAGGAGAACCAGCAGACACAAAAGGCTTTTCTGACCTGGCTTGAAGCCACGCACTACTCTTTTCACCTCCTCTAACTGGCAATTCTCCAAAGCCGTGCCAAGGAAGGGACCTGTTGGGAGAGGGGGTAAGGCTGACACAGAAGCCAGAGAGGATGGCTGTCTGTGAAGAGGGCACCTATCACCTGCCACTCTCCTCTTCCAGGCCTGGCCTGCCTTTACACCTTGCTAAACAGTGCTCAGGACAGGTGACTCCGGTCCTTGGCGCCTGACTGACAGTTGGTTTGTCAGGGATTCCGCAGCTCCATTGCTCACCAGCTCATTTTGCTGCTGACACAGTTGAGACAGAGGCCGCTAGCTGGTGACACAAGCTAGCAGCTGGCTGAGCTATTCAGGGTCAAAGCCTGATTCCACAGCACCCTTGAATTTTTCTTCATCGTTTATGACCATCTGTGATTGATTACACAGGGAGGTGCAGAGCCTTGCAGGCCCTTGGGTTTCAGTAGGAGAGGCATGAATTGAAGAACAGGAAAGCCTTTATTTTGGAGCTAACAAGAACTGTTTAAGATTCAGGGTAAGGGCAGTTATGTGATAACTTATTAAAATAGCAGTAAGGTGAATTTTATGGTGTATGAATTGTAACACTATTTGTGTCCAATGTGTGCCTGTCTGAGGCTTGAATTTGAATTCAGCCAGATTGCTTTCCCTGAGCTTTTTTTTTTTTTTTTGTCCACTGTGGGGCTTGAACTCTGGGCCTGGGTACTGTCCCTCAGCTCTTCAGCTCAAGGCTAGCACTTTACCACTTGAGCCACAGCTCCATTTCCAGTTTTCTGAGTGGTTCATTGGAGATAAGAGTCTCTTGGACTTTCCTGCCTGGGCTGGCTTTGAACCACAGTCCTCAGATCTCATCCTCCTGAATAGCCAGGATTACAGGCATGAACCACTGGTGCCTAGCTTGAGCTTTTGTGCTCAAGGGTCAAGGCTACCACTTGAGTCACAGCTCTAGTTTCAGCTTTGTGTGTGTGTGTATATATGGTTAATTGGACAAAGGAGTCTCAGCTTAGGCTGGGAATGTGGCTTAGTGGTAGAATGCTTGCCTAGCAGGCATGAAGCCCTGGGTTCGATTCCTCAGTACAACATAAACAGAAAAAGCCAGAAGTGGCACTGTGGCTCAAGTGGTAAAGTGCTAGCATTGAGCAAAAGCAGCTAAGAGACAGTGCCCAGATCCTGAGATCAAGCCACAGGATTGGCAAAAAAAAAAGTCTCAGACTGGGCACCTGGTGGCTTATGCCTATAATCCTAGCTACTCAGGAGGCTGAGATCTGAGGACTGTGGTTCAAAGCCAGCCCGGGCAGGAAAGTCTGTGAGACTCTTATCTCCAATAAACCACTGTAAACTAGAAGTGGTGCTGTGGCTCAAGCAGTAGAGCACTGGCCTTGAGCTGAAGAGCTGAGGGACAGTGCCCAAGCCCAGAGTTCAAGCCCCATGACCAACTAAAAAAAGACTTGAGCTCAGGATGACTTCAAACCATGATCCTCAGAACTCAGCTTCCTGAGTAGCTAGGATTATAGGGGTGAGCCACCAGCACCCAGTCCTAAGTTCAAGCCCCAGGACTAGCACAAAGGGTAGGGGGTTAGAGATGTAGAAATGCCTAGCATAGGTGAAGCCCTAGGTTCAACCCCCAGTACAAAAGAAAGACAAAAAATTATGCCTCCAAATAAAACCTTCCTTGGGGCTGGGAAGGTGGCTCAGTGGTAGAGTGCTTGCCTCACATGCCTGAGGCCCTGGGTTCAATTCCTCAGTACCACAAAAGCAGGAGAAAAAATAAAAACCTACTTCTTGCAGCTCAGCCAGTCTAGAACATCGTATGGTGCCATGTTGAGAAGCGTGTCCGCAGGCAACATGTACAGGTCTTCATGGAATGGAGCCACACACGAGTCTCAAAGTTGACACATTTATTTTATTTATTAATTATTTTGTCAGTCGTGGGGCCTGAACTCTGGGCCTGGGTGCTGTCCCTCAGCTCTTCTGCTCAAGGCCAGTGCTCTACCACTTGAGCCACAGTGCCACTTCCAGCTTTTTCTGCTTATGTGGTGCTGAGGAATTGAACCCAGGGCCTCATGCGTACAAGGCAAGCACTCTACCACTGAGCCACCTTCCCAGCCCAAACTTAAAGAATTTAGTGAGCTGGGTGTTAATGGCTCAAACCTATTTCATATAATCCTAGCTAATTAGGAGGCTGAGTTCTGAAGATCAAGTTCAAGGTCAGTCTGTGCAGAAACAAACCTAAGAGACTTAATTCCAATTTAAAAAAAAAGCTGTAACTGGAAATATGGATCAAGTGGTAGAGAGCTAGCCACAAACAAAAAAGTTGATAGTGTCAGGCCTTGAGTACCAGCCCCAGTGATGACACAAATATACACACAAACCTAGAAGAATGGCTCAAATGCTAGTGCTTACTTAACAGGACCATACCTTGGAGTTCAACACCCCATACTGCAAAAATAAAAAAAGAAAAAATACTTTTAAGTAATTGCAATAAATGACAAAGTTTAAAAAGCTGGCAAACTCTACAGCTGCATGCCAGTGGCTCACACCTGAAATCCTAGTCACTCTAAGCCAACCTGGAAAGAAGTCCATCTCCAATTATCTCAAAGTGGTAGAGCACTAGCCTTGAGAAAAAAAAAAATCTCAAGACAGCGCTCAGACCCTGAGTTCAAGCCCCATGACTGACGAAATAAAACCTACCTCAGTATGTGTTCATCAGCTGAGGGCTGTGTCAGTGTTGACAGTTCTCTGTTCATCAGCTGAGGGCTGTGTCAGTGTTGACGGTGCTCTGTTCATCAGCTGAGGGCTGTGTCAGTGTTGACAGTTCTCTGTTCATCATCTGAGGGCTGTGTCAGTGTTGATGGTGCTCTTCATCAGCTGAGGGCTGTGTCAGTGTTGACAGGGCTGTTCATCAGCTGAGGGCTGTGTCAGTGT